TGCAGCCGTCATTGTTGTTTTGGTGGGCCTGGGCTGGATTCGAACCCGCCACCTTAGGTGTATGTGGCTGGTGCCTTAGCCACTTGAGCCACAGGCGCCGAGCCATGAATATAGGTTCTAAAAGCTACCTGACCCTTATTTCCCTCATGAGGAAACATTTGTGTGGCAGGCTTTTCATCTGGTTTATGTATTTATTTGTTTATTTTAAGACAGAGTTTCACTTTCTTGCCCTCCGTAGACTGCCATGTAGTCATAGCTCACAGCAACTTCAAACTCTTGGGGTCAAGTGATTCTCTTGCCTCAGCCTCCTGAGTAGCTGGAACTTCAGCCTTATGCCCAGCTACTTTTAGAGGCAAGGTCTCACTCTGGCTCAGGCTGGTTTCAAACCTGTGAGCTCAGGCAATCCACCTGCCTCGGCCTCCCAGAGTGCTGGGATTACAGGCCTGAGCCACTGTGCCCAGCTGTGATCATCTGGTTTAAACATGAGAATGTCAGGCCAGCACAGTGGCTCACATCTATAAATCCCAGCACTCTGGGAGGCCAAGGTGGGAGGATTATTTGAGCTCAGGAGTTCAAGACCAGCCTGAGCAAAAGCAAAACCCCTTCTCTACTAAAAGTAGAAAAACTAAGGCAAGAGGATCGCTTGAGCCCAAGAGCTGAAAGGTTGCTGTGAACTATGATGCCATGGCACAGCACTCTACCCAGGGTTATAGCTTGAGACTCTGTCTCCAAAACAAACAAACAAAAAAGAATGCCAAGCCATGGCAAGTAGTGAATAAATGCTAACTTTTTTTTCTTTTTTTGGAGATAAGAATCTTACTCTCTTGTCCAGGCTAGAGTGCTGTGGTGTCAGAGTAGCTCACAGCAACCTCAGACTCTTGGGCTCAAGCAATCCTCTTGCCTCTGCCTCCTGAATAGCTGGGACTACAGGTGTCCACTGCCATGGCTGGCTAATTTTTCTATTTTTAGTAGAGATGGAGTCTTGGTTTGGTCAGACTGGTCTCAAACTCCTGACCTCAGTGATCCTCCTGCCTTGGCCTTCCAGAGTGCTGGGATTATAGGCATGAGCCACTGCTGCTCTATCAGCTAGATCTTAATGCGCCACCATGCTACTAGGAGTGCGGGCAGTACAGGCATGGCATCTCTGCCTTCCCAGTACAGCTGCCCCATACCCAGGGAGAGGTGGAACTCACAGGAGCATTCACAGCACAGGCCCTGAGTCACTGTCTGAAGACAGTCACTGTCAGGAGAAGGCAGGGCCTAGATGGTATAACTATCTTTGTACAATATGTAGTTAACCTATAGATGCAGTCAGGTCTCAAAAAGGTTGTATGATTTGCTTTTCTTTTCTTTTTTTTTTTTTTGAGACAGAACCTTAAGCTGTCCCCTGGGTAGAGTGCTATGGCATCACAGCTCAGAGCAACCTCCAACTCCTGGGCTCAAGCGATTCTCTTGCCTCAGCCTCCCAAGTAGCTGGGACTACAGGCGCCTGTCACAACGCCCAGCTATTTTTTGGTTGTAGTTGTTGTTTGGCAGGCTGGGGCTGGGTTCGAACCCACCACCTCTGTTGTATGTGGCTGGTGCCTTAGCCACTTGAGCTACAGGCACCGAGCCATGGTCATATGATTTTCAAAGAAATGACAGCTCTGGGCCAAACAGGAGATAGTTAAAAGGTGTGGAAATCATACGTTGGAATAAGGACAGTTCAGGCAGTGCACATAGCTCAGTGGGTAGGGCGCCCGCCACATATACCGAGGCTGACGGGTTTGAGCCTGGCCTGGGCCTTGGTAAACAACAATGACAACTGCAACAAAAAAATAGCCAGGCGTTGTGACGGGCGCCTGTAGTCTCAGCTACTTGGGAGGCTGAGGCAAAAGAATCGCTTAAACCCAAGAGTTTAAGGTTGCTGTGAGCTGTGTGACGCCATGGCACTCTATGGAGGGCAACACAGTAAGACTCTGTCTCAAAGCACAGTTCATGGCTGGGAGTTTCAACTTTACCTCCACCACATCTCCCATACCCTCTTCTCCTTCCTGTTCTCGTCACCACCCTTAGCACCCCATTACTGCTTGCTGTGTTGCTGAAGGCCCAATTACACATGGCATAGGTCATTTATTTACCAAACAGACTGGATCATGCAAAATAAAACTGCTTCACAGGGAAGGACCTTCTCCATCTGGGCTCAATTGACCTGTCTCATGTCACTGCTTGACTCCCTGCCTGTAGTGCAGCCCAAGCTTTAATCACACTGAATTATTCCCTCAACCTGGGACATACCGGTACCTCTTGCACACCTCTTTCTGTCTTTGTTCTCCCTTGTCCTTTAAGTCCCTGCTCATTTAAATCCTTACTCTTCCCATTAATCCTTCATATCTTGGGCAGTGCCTGTGGCTCAGTGAGTAGGGTGCCGACCCCATATACTGAGGGTGGCAGGTTCAAACCCAGCCCCGGCCAAACTGCAACAAAAAAATAGCCGGGCGTTGTGGCGGGTGCCTGTTGTCCCAGCTACAAGGGAGGCTGGGGCAAGAGAATTGCCTAAGCCCAAGAGCTGGAGGTTGCTGTGAGCTGTGACGCCATAGCACTCTACCGAGGGCAACAAAGTGAAACTCTGTCTCTAATTTAAAAAAAAAAATCCTTCCATATCTTTACCATTTTACCCTAGCACTGGCTAGTTTGTCTCCTTGGCTTAATGTCATAGGAACATATCTGTCTCTCTTTAAAATATCTTGTTTGTTTCATTGTCATATCTTGGCAATGGAAAGTGGTAATAAGCAATTGAGAATTACGTGTGAAGGGATAAAGGGAGAAAGGTTAGGATGAGGGCAGCAGTCACCCACCTGTCTTTGACCTGCAGCAGGTAGCAGACCAAGCAGTAGCCAGCACAACTTTGCACAAAGTTGCGTTGGGCACTGAGAAATGCCTCAGTAGTGTAACTGCCATGCTCTTGTAGGAAGTAATCGAGCAAGGAAAGCTGTGACTGTTTCTTCACCTGGTGGATGGACACAGCATTGACCACTGGTTCAATCATACCACTATCAGCAGAAATCACGAGGATCTTGTATGGCTTGATCCAAAGGGGCACTCGCTCCTGTTCCCAAATGGACTGTGAGGAGACATGAAGGATTCAGACTCTCATCTTTCTCCAAACTAGAGGAGGAGGCTAAAATCCCCATTTGTCCCAAACCCTCTCCTGAATTCTTAACTCATCATGTCAAATGAGTAAGACTCACTGATCCTGCTGAGGACCAGGAAGTTCTGAAAGGAAGTCCAAGTCCTACCAAAGTCAGGAAGCTACACTTTGATGTATGTTGGAAAAGGCATCATCTAGGCAGAAATTCCAAGAAAGGAAAACAGGAAACCTCACTGTCACTTCACAAGCAAGGAGAATGGGAGGCATCAATAGAAGTTCAAAGAATAACGGGCTGAGGTCCAAAGAAAGCTTTTTTAGAGAATGAAAATACGTATGCAATATAAGGACTCAGACTAAACAAGAGAAACCGCTTTCAGGTGACCAACCCAGGGAGCTCAGGGGATGAGTATCTCACCCACAACCCACCTGCTACAGACCATTTGGGAAGTTCTGATCTAAAGGGCAAACTCAGCACCCCGAAGCTCAATGATCAGAGCAAGGCAGATGCAGTTCACAAAAGGGCCAAAAGAGGCTGCTGGGCCTGTGGCTGTGCTCGGAGAGAGGAGCACCTAACCTGCTTCCAGTTTCCACCTGGACAGGAAGCTGGTCCCCACAGAACAACCTGTGTGGTCACCCATGTGGGCTGGAGTTGGACTGAGTTCTCTTTCTTTCACTTTCCCTTCTCTCACCTGCAGTTGCTTCAACACCTGGAAGGCCAGGAGCTCTTGCCTAAGGTCATCCCCACATTTGACAATGACTGACAGGAGCCGCCAGTTGGGGAGATGGCCATAGGGGGAGCCCTCTCTGATTCGCCTGTGAAGAGAAGTACACAGCGTTAGAGAGTGAGGCCAGGGAGAGGGACAGACATATGGCTTTCACCAAAAATCCAAAGCAAACACCCCATAAGGGAAGGACTCAGACTGTCTGGGAGCCTGAGAGGTTTCCTGGAAGCTGATGGATGAGGAAGGCAGTGGAGAACCTGCAACTGACTCCGAGCTCTGAGAGGGATACAGTTGGTCCCCACCCTCTGCCCAACTCACCGTACTTTCTCCTGCCAGGGCTCTTTGAGAGCAACTGCAGAAGGGTCCTCTGGGTCTCGTTTGAAGGCTGTGGGGGTGTGAGCCAGCTGTTCTGAAAGGCGCCGTCTAGCAGAAAAAAATGCATCAGTTGCTTGGAGGAGCTACCTCAGAGCCTCATGCCCTGTCTACGCTGGCATTTCACATACTGTTTCCTAGATTCTGAGAACACAGAGTAGGAACCCAGACTGAGAGAGACTTATGGAAGGAAACATTTTTGCTATCCTGGTGGTTTATAATCATATTAAAACACAGATTACCAGGTCCTCTATACTCCTCTAACAAGACTGATTCAGAATAGGGTGTGACTCCAGAATTTGTACTTTTCACAAGGCCTCCTCCCTCTCTTTGATTCTGATACACGTCAGTACGAGACCTCACTTTGAGAAACATTACTCAAATTCGTTCTTCTGGTATTTTCATCCCTTTGGATGAAAGGGGTAGCAGACCAAGCAGTAACCAGCACAATAATTATAAAATTTAATTTCTTTCTGTAGTAGCCCAAATAATTTCTCAACCTACACCTTCACTGTCTCAAGTTTGGTGGTGTTAGGATAAGGACAGAATAAGGAGAGAAAAGAGAAGACACAGGCTGACAGCAAGTGATTAAGTCAGAGAAGGGGACAAAAAAATGATCTGTTCCTGGACGAGGGTTGCAATATGAGGGACAAGGTAATCGGGCCATACCGGATGTCCCCTGCTGCAATGAACACAGGCTCCTTGCTCTCCTGGCTGGTGATACTGTCCACAGAAAACTGAGAGATGTTGTCACAGCTGTTGGTGTGAACTTCAGGGAGCTGGGGAGAGACGGGGAGTGCAGGTCAGAAATGCTGGGCACAGGTCTGCTCGCTTTCAGCCCCTGCTTGCTTGTCAACCCCACAGCATGTTCATCCCCCAGCCCCTTCTACATTCTGCTCCAAAAAACTTCCTTGGTTATACACCATCCTGATTACTTGGACCCCAACTGCCTAACCCTGAGAAAGACCCTTTCAACTGCAGTGTTTCTCAAAGTATGAATTACCAGGGATGCTTGTTAGAAGGCAGATCCTTAGGCCCCACCACCAATCTGAATTAGAATCACTGGGAATGGGATTTGAAAGTCTGAATTTTTTTTTTTTTTTTGAGACAGAGTCTCACTATGTTGCCCTGGGTAGAGTGCTGTAGCATCACAGCAACCTCAAACCCTTGGGCTTAAGCAATTCTCTTGCCTCAGCCTCCCAAGTAGCTGGGACTACAGACACCTACAATACCACCCAGCTGTTTTTTGGTAGTTGTCATTAATGTTTGGCAGGCCTGGGCTGGATTCAAACCTGCCAGCTCCAGTTTATGTGGCTGGCACCCTGGCCACTGAGCTACAGGCACCAAGCCTGAAACTCTGAAGACATAGACATAGAGTCTATGTCACCCTCGGTAGAATGCCTTGGTATCACAGCTCACAGCACCCTCAAACTCTTGGGCTTAAGTGATTCTCTTGTCTCAGCCTCCCAAGTAGCTGGGACTACAGGTGCCCACCACAAAGCCTGGCTTTGTCATTGTTATAGCTGGCCTGGGCTGGGTTTGAACCCGCTAACCTTGGTGTATGTGGCTGACCCCTCAACCACAGTGCCAGGGATGCTGAGCCTGAAAGTCTGAATTTATTTTTGTTTTTTGGAGACAAGAGTCTCACTATGTTGCCCTTGGCAGAGTGCTGTGGCATCACTCTTGAGGCTGTGGCCTCAAACTCTTGGGCTTACGTGATTCTCTTGCCTCAGCCTCCCAAGTAGCTAGGGCTACAGGTGTCCACCACAATGTCCAGCTATGAAAAGCTGAATTTTTAACAAGTTCTCCAGAAGACTCCTTATGCACTAAAGCAGTGGTTCTCAATCTGTGGGTCGAGACCCCTTTGTAACAATGAAAATACATCCTGCATATCAGATGTTTACATTTCAATTCATAACAGTAGCAAAATTATAGTTATAAAGTAGCAACAAAAATAATTTTGTGGTTGGGAGCACCATAACATGAGAAACTGTATTAAAGGGTTGCAGCTTTAGGAGGCATTAGGAAGGTTGAAAGCTATTGCACTGAAGTTTGCAAACCCTGTTATGACCATCACAGAAGCCTGACCTTTTAGCCTCATATGCTACCTATCCCAATATTAGCGATGCATCCTTGCCAGGGTCCAAAGCAGACCCTCTTCAGTCTATTTTCCTCTCACTATCCTTCAATCTAAGTCACTCTTATCTCCCCATCCTTCTCTAATTATAGACTCTTCTATCAGACCTCGAGGTCCACATCAAGTCTCTTCTCTCCTTCTTTTATACCACAACATTTCTCCATAATGCCATTTGTCATTCATGTATAGCTAGTGAATGTTGTCTTGTAATATCTTAAGTTTTGTTTTTGCTTTTTTTTTTTTTACAGAGTCTTACTTTATCGCCCTTGGTACAGTGCTGTGGCGTCACAGCTCAGAGCAACCTCCAACTCCTAGGCTTAAGTGATTCTCTTGCCTCAGCCTCCAAGTTTCCTTTTTTGAGACACAGTCTCATTCTGTGCCTTGGGTAGAGTGCCGTGGTGTCATCAAAGCTCACAGCAACTCAAACTCTTAGATTCTAGCCATCCTCTTGCTTCAGCCTCTCAAGTAGTCTTAGACTTGGCTCGGCGCCT